CATACTTTTATATGATGTTTCCTGATTTTCTCATTAGATACTCAGCACTTAATAACTATTCATGTTAATAAGCATTGAGAAATATGACATAATTTCTAAAAATTCCTCTAATACATTATAAAAAGGATGACAATAAGAAGCATGTTTTTAAAATTGTAAGATACATTATATGGTAACTGTGAGTTAAAAACCTTAAAGTCTGTATGCATATAGAGGATAAGAAAATACTATAAAATTTGGGTGGCATAATTTTTTTTCTTGTTGTGCTACTGGTAGCTGGAAGTCTGATGGTTAGAATCCCACAGATACTTGACAGAAGAAATATGGGTATCATTCTAAGTTTGTAAAAGCATGAGTTAAAGTGTGAAATAGTGGATTGCAAAATAGAGTATAAGAGACTAAAATGGGAAAACTTACTTTGCACAAATAGGCATTTTGTTCATCATAATTGAAGAAATAAACGGTTATTAGAGAATTTTAACTTAGTGGCTATGAAGATAAGGCAAAAAATAGAGACTTGGGGCATTTTGAGGAAAGGCGGATTGACAAGAGGAATTCATTAAATAAAAGCATCTAATCAGTAAAGATATTCACTCTTAAGAAAAATTAAAATGAAAAATTACTGTGTATAAATAATGGGACAAAATTATTGAAAATAACTCTGAAGAATTTTATGAAGTCTGGTTAAATATATGTGATCATAATCTAACTAAGCTTTTTTGAGATTGATGCCTTTCTGTTGTGATATGGGAGAAAAGCACTAAAGATACTGCGCACTGCCAATAACCCCCACATAGATATGTTTTGAAAAAAGTGCAGCTTTGGGGAGCTCTGGTGGTCTAGTGGCAAGAAACTGCACTGCAATCCCAGAGATATGCGGTTCGAATCCACCAGATGCTCTGCTAGAGAAGGAGGGTCGACCTTCTCCTGTACCAGTCAGATCTGATTTGATGGTAAACGCACTAAAAAAAAAAAAAAAGTAAAAAGTGCAGCTGAAGTGTTCCATAGAGGCAAACATAGTGAAATCTTATCTCACATATTTTGGACATTTTACTAGGAGAGGCTTTTCTTTGGAAAGGGATATTAAGCTTGGAAAAGTGTATCATCAGTGAAACAGGAAGCCTCTCAACCAGATGGCTTAACACAGTGACTGTAGTAACGGGCTTGAATATGTCAGAGTTGATGAGGATTTCACAGGACAGGACAGGGTTTAGAGCTATTGCTGACAGGGTCCGTGTGAGTCATACTCAACACAATGGCTCCTAGCAACAGCTGCTTCTAACTGAGCTTTATGCAGAATGGATAAAGGAAAGGCATAGCTGAGGAATTTGCCTTTGAGAAACTTTCCCCCTATACTCCAGACCATTATGAGAGCTGTTGTTATTGTTGCTGTGTACTGTTGTGTCTTCCCTGACTCATAGCTGACCCTCCAAAGGGTTTTCAAAGAGAATAAATCTTACGGGAAGACGTTACCTTTCTACCACAGAGCAGCTGGTGGATTCTAACCTTGTACATTTGCTTTGGCATTGCAATTCCTTAACAGTTAGAAATTGCTAAAACAAAAAGACAATAGTGGAAATTATGATTCAATATCTTATACTAGGAATGTCTAAATAAAATTCAACTTTATTTCTGCCTTGCATATTTGGAGAGTAGAGAAGCTAACATCTAAGGGAGAGAGATAGTGAAACTTTGTCTCATTTACTCTGGGTATTTTTAGGAGGAATGAGTCCTTAGAGAGTGAGAGACAACATGCTGGGAATGATAGAAGGTCAGTGAAAGAGATTAAGACCCTCAAAGAGATGGACTGATGTAGTCGCTACCACAACGGGCTTAAGTGTCAGAGATATCATTATGGTGCAGGATAGGGCAACGTTCCTAGGGCCATTAAAAGTCCTGCTCACCTTGATTGCATGTAACAACCATGAATCAAAATCATCAAACTGCTAGTGAATTCTTTCCACTCCTACTCACAAAAGAATGATCACGTGGAACAGAAAATGATGGGCGTGTCCAGTGTTGTTTTTATTAGGTGCCATGAATCACCCCGGATTGTCTATACTTCTGATAAAAAAGACCAGGTCCTGTGTGACCCTCACAACCTCTATTATGCTCAAACTCCTTGTTACAGTCATTGTGTCAAGCTATCTCCTTGAAGGCCTTTCCAATGGCCCTCCTATTACCTAAGCAGTGTGTCTTTTTCCAAGGACAAGTCTCTCCTGACAAGATGCCCAAGTTATGTGATTAAAGTCTCACTATCTTTTTCTCTAAGAAGTACCCTGACTGTACTCCCAAGATACATTTGTTAATTCTTACACAATCCATGTCATAGCCAATATTCTTTGACTTAAAAAAATAATAAATCCACGGCATCAGTTCTTCAATTTTCCTTTATGATTTTTCCAACTTTCACAAATATGTGCTTCAGTAAAAATACTATGTCAAGGGTTCCTTAACCTTCAAGCAAATATTCTTATTGGAAAATACTAGATAAAGGTCTTTTGCCTCATATTTTTCCCAGTATAATATATTGTTTGATTTCTGGACTGTCACTTCGATGGATATTGATTGTGGGTCAAAGTAAAATTCAATCATTGACAACTTCAATCTTTGATTTAACTTCTGCTTCATGAATATTGTGTTGTTGTTGTATACCATGGAGTCAGAAGCGACCAATAGCTGACCCTCCAGTTGGTTTTCAGAGCAGTTCATTGCATGGGAGGAGATTGCCCATCCTTCTTCCACGAAGCATCTGGTGAATTCAAACCACATGCCACTGAGATTTTAGCACAGCTTTTTGCCACTAGGCTACCAGTGTCCCCTCCCTGTCATAGTTTTACAAGTAAACTATCCTCAACCTGTAAAAGATTTAAATAAAAGTGTTCTTTGTGTCTTTTTTGTAAAAATAGGTATAAATAAGGGAGTTTTATATCATATTCCTTACTTAGTAATTGATATATCATTTCTTCCCAGAGAACATGATGAGATGATTACAGTGGATGGAAAAAAGATGAGATGTGTTAGCAACCATGAAGTGCGGATTCATATGAAAATTATAAAAGAGTAATGAGAGATGTTCCAGTCATCTCTTGGCATTAGTAAAAATAAAGAAAATAAATACTAAGAATATTATGAGTTAATTTTTATTAACTCTTCCAGGACACTATGCTATTCAGAGGTGGAGCACAATCAGATGTTGTTTGTTGTGCTGTATGTAAAGTTTCTTTGAGTTGAGTACACTGGGCAACAGCCCAGGGAGGAGACTGGAAGCTCTGAGGAGAGGAGAAGTTTCAGGACTGTGCTGACAATTTCAGAAAGAGCTCAGATTTTCCTACTTTTCCCTGAAGCTAGGAGTACAAGTCCTGGAAAAATAGAGAGACTCTCTTAACTTCTGCTGAAGAGTAGGCAGCAGAAGTTTCTCATGTGCCAAATTTATTTAGGTAAGAGTCAATTCCATATGTATAGACATTTGAACTCCGTTTAACAAGAAAATACGGGTGTAAACTGCAGGGGAAAGATTAAAGAACTTCATCAACAAGTGCGGTTGATTCTGGAAACCAGTTTCTCACGTAAGATTCAGTTCAAGATACATCAATCGTAGTGCACTCTTTCAGTTTGATCTCTTGCCTGACATTTGCCTTTTGCTTGAGGTAAAATGTGAATCGAAAGGATAATATGTATTTTTTAAATTACTATTAAATTTTATTAGTTTTAATGAACATTTACAGAGATTTTGGGTTCTCTTTCATTCATTGTTGCACTGTTTTCTCTACCCTCCTCCCCAGTTCGTTCTTCTTCCCCTCCCCCGAATGTC